TGACCAAATTTATAGACAAGGAGTAAATTATATTTGATTAAGCAAGAAAATGATATACGTGTTAATAACTATTATACAGAAGAGAAACGGCAGATTATAAATTGTGATTAATTTAGTTTAATACTGAGATCTTTGTTTTAAACCCACCTAAGATATCCGTAATAGTTTTTTTTTATCAAGTAAAAATTTTTTTTCAAATCAATTCAAGATGGAGGAATAAAATAAACTCCTACTTAGGACTAGTGACATCGCTATAAAGGTATATTAGGTATACACAATTTAAAATATAGTTTTTATGCATCAATTACTTTTCCGAAAGTTAGAGCTATTTACCGTTTTAAATCAAAGTAGAACTCAGAAGATAAATTCGGTATTAACAATTCAAAAAAACATCTTTTTGCACGTAGATAATTTTAGAGAAAGTTAGCGCTTTTCCCCGTTTTAAATCAAAGTAGAACTCAGAAGATAAATTCGGTATTAACAATTCAAAAAAATATCTTTTTGCACGTTGATAATTTTAGAGAAAGTTAGCGCTTTTCACCGTTTTAAATCAAAGAAGTAGAGCTCAGAAGATAAATTCGGTATTAACAATTTAAGAAAAAAATTTTGTGCTTCGATATTTTTTAGAAAGTTAGTTCTAATTACCGTTTAAATCAAAGAGTAGAACTCACTGAAATGGAATAACAAGGACGACATATAATTTAATCATTATCGAAATTTTCAAAGAGTTAACTGAATGGTGATACTTTGGCTTGCAAATCCTTACAGGGGTCTATCCAGACATTTTGTGAAAGGTCCGTTTTTCGTGAAATTTTGAAAAAATTACTCACTACTCACAGTCTTTCAACCAGGGTCCGCTTTTATGAATTTGTGCAAATAGGGTCCGATTGCAAAAAAAATTTTTTCAAGGAGTTTTTAAATTGTTAAGACATGCAAGATTATGCTCAACACTGTAAAATTATAATTAAAAAAATTAAATTTTAAAAAATAAATAACAATTGCTGCTTCTAAATTAGAGATGCAACATACAAATATTTGGTCTTGGTATTTAGCCTATACTGCTGAACGCAGAATATTCATTTCGGACGAATAATGGAAGAATCGTCTGCCGAAGACAAAACTTAATTCGTTTACATCCATCTTTCTTGTTTTCTGCCCTGGAAAGGGTTTATTCGATTAACAAAATAATAATGAAGATAAGCAAATTTGTGAAGGGTCCGATTAAAAGAAAAATCCTTTTGTGAAGGGTCCGTTTTTAAGTTAAAATATTTTGTGCAGGGTCCGTTTTTAAGTTAAAATATTTTGTGAAGGGTCCGTTTTTATTAAAAGATATTTTGTGAAGGGTCCGTTAACGGACCCAAATTTCTTCTAAACAGACCCCTGCCTTAGATCTACAAAAATACAGGTTTTTGTTGATTTTGTTCTTTTTATTGTCTGCGAATACAGCTACTCGATATATTTCGATCATAATATTGGCTAAGCTCTGTAGTAGGTTTGAACCCTACTCAGAAGACATGAAGAACCATAAGTCAAACATTAGGACTAAACGCATCCATGTTCATGTTTGTGTGGGAAATGGAAGCTCTTTTCCCTAAGTTAAATAAAAGGAGGAAAATAATTAAAAGAAAAAGCGTTTGTATTTTAATTGATTACTGTTAAGTCTGGTTTTTTAGCATCAAAATCAGATTTAAACTGTCAAAATCGGATTTAAGCCATCGAAAAATTTAAAAGCACAAGGTGACATATGAGATCGTGCACTTTTAAAGTACTTATGATTTAGTAACAAAAAATTTAAAATCATAATACGCTGAACATAAAATTATATCGTAATTAATCATTTTAATTATATCTAAAAGTGATGAATTCCAATATTGCTACCGATAAATAATTTAAAAATCGCACCCGATTCCTCATACTCCGCACCTCAACTCAATTTTTGTGCAAATTAAATGAATTTTTCAAAGAGAAAAAAAACGATGTTCGAGAATTTTGACGACAAATACTTGACAAAGGGTGTGCATAGTCATAACTGTCAAAAGTTGCCAATGCGTCACAACGTTGATTAACTTTAATTAATCTAATTCGAATTAAAATAAGAATAAAAAAATAATTTAGAACATTCATCATCAACAGCAAATCCTAGAAATAACCCTTAAGCTATTTAATGAATATTTTATCTTAAGCGTGCTATTACCTAACTGTTTAGATCAGTAATTTATGAATATGAACAAAGAATGCACATAATGATAAAATAACCACCTTTGGTTAAAGATAGATGGCAGCATCATGTACTATTTGTAAATCTCAAAATAAATGGATTTGCCAAATGACAATATTTAATCATACAAGAAATAAAAATTTTTTAAAACGGGCGATTTTGTTTTTACAAATGAAATATGTTTTTAATTTTTTAAAAAAAATTTTTTAATGCAATTATCATTATGAACATTTAAAAATAGTAAGTTTTTTTGAACAAAAACTAAAAATGTGTGGGTTGTTTCGTAATTTTCTTTTTTTTTTAACATTTTTAAGTTTTAAAAGATTTTGCACAATATGCGTTTGGGTAGCTGTTCATTTTCAAAAAAGATAGAAAGTAAAACAAGAACAGTAAAAAAAAGGAAGGATCAAAAATAGCATTTAAGTGATTATTTTTTCCCCTTCTTTGACTTCTCTAAATAAAAGAAAATAAATACTCCAGTCATTTTCTAAAAGTTTTCCAAGGGAAAAAAATGAATTGATTTCAAAGACGCCAGATGTTTTGACAGCAGAGCAATACACAAAATAAAAATGTTCATGTTTGGAAAGACATTTGTAACTATTTTGAACTAAGAAAAAAATAGCTGGTGCTGCCATCTGCATGTAAATAATTGACTTTAAAAGCTTTTTTTTTTCAGGAAAAAATATATTTGGCTTTAATAAAATTCTTTTTTCACACAATTTTCTAACGTCAAATTATAAATCCAGCAAAAAGTTAGAATGAGAAAAATTGTATAAATTTAAATTACTTTTTGTATGGTCAGAAAATAATATGTTAACGATAAAAAATATTATTTTTGTTATAAAATGAACCATATGAAAAATATATGTGAAGTAAACCTGTATAAAATAAAACATTCAATTGTTCCAAGCATTTTTGAAGTGCACTTTGAATCAATTTGCTGACTGAGGCCCGGAGCACTCCAGTGCTGCTTCTACTCTGGAGCTAAAAGCTTTCCCATTGTCCAGAGCTTTTTTAATAATAAACTTTTTGTTTTGAGTATTTCAATAAATCAGGCTTAAAATATAAGGAAGGACTTATGTGCATTTAGTTTCCTTGATGATTCTACAAAAACAGATAATTTTGAGTCTAGTTGATAAATTTATTTAATTTCTTTTTTCAAATTGAGCTATATACCATTAATTTTCACTTTAATATCTAATAAATATGGCATACTAATATATTATCTAATATTCATTTTCATATTTATCTATCTGGAAGAGCAACTGGAGCATCGATAATTTTTCGGTTCCGGGTCTCTGAATTTCGTAAAAATAGTTCTGCAAAAATTCATACTGTAAAAAATAATTCTGCAAAAACTAATTGACAACAGGGAATTAGGCAGATTATCAGGCAAAAATAATTAATGTATTTCGTTTGTCGTCGCTCCGGGCAAGTGGAGGAATACACTAATGATGCAGATTTTTTTAATTATTTGTTTGTTTTTTTTAAATTATGCAAAATTAATTTGGATATTATGACAAATAAAAAATGCACAAAAACAGAAAATTAACATCAATTTAATAAAAAAAAAAAAAATATTTGTTTTGTAAGGTTACGAACTAATATATAATATTATAAAATAACAATAATGAAAGGTTAATTCTGTAATTGTTATTATAGTGCCCAAGAGAGCAGGTCTCTAAAAAAGCAAAAAGAGGTAATAAAATTCAAGAATATATAGCAGCTTCAGGATATGAACTACTACCAGCAAATTTGATTTATTCAAAGGGAAAATATCTAAATTTGAATTTATTTTGTAAATCAGAAGAAAAAAAATTTTTTTAATAGCCAAAAAAAGAAATAAAATTTTTTTTCACTAGTATTTAATTTTTTTTTAAATGGTGGGAAATCCTGAGGGCTCAAAACGCAAGTTTTTTACTTTAAGTTTTATTCTCAATCAATGATTATCAACGATATAAACAATATTATCAACGATTTCAATGATTGAGATTATTTCCTTGATGAGTAATTCCAATAAATAATTACCAAAATGACTAAGAATAATTTAAAATGACTAAAATGTGTTCCCATTTCAATCGGATTCTTCCCATCAATTTAAAATACTCTGTCATAGGTGTAGCAGACCAATTTTTTAATTATTGTAAATATTTTTTTATCATGCCCACCCCTAAAAATTATTTATAAAGTAATGCATTTAACTATCAACGCAGCGCGACCAGACAATAACACTAACATCAACTGTTCATCTTTAGCTAAGAAAATTTACGCAAAACATTAAAACTTTTTCAGTTGGCTGATTTTTTTATCTTTAATCATTTTAATTTGTTTCTTAATCACTTAATGATAAACGTACTTTAGACACGTATTGGTATATAGTTAAATTGATTTTCAATTAATGTACCATTCCAACATTTAGATTTATATACATCTATGTTTGGATTACCTGATTATACTGATTTTTGTGAATAGTATTTAAATAATAAATCAGTAAGTTGGTTAACGATAATATCCAGTATATATAATGGTATATTAACGGTAGTTTTGAGCATTTAATAGTTAGTTCAACCCATTAAATGGAAAAATTCAATTTTTTATCAATAATTTTTTGTACAAAGCATCAATTGCAAAATATTGAAAGTTAATTTAGTAGGCTATGTGAAGATATTAAATTTTTACACTGAAACATTATTATTAAAAACAATTATCACTCAGTTCGCATTTATTTTTTATATTTAGTAGATATTTTAACACTTAGAATAAAAAAAGAAACAGGACTCACCACATAATTGAAAGTTGATGGTTCCGAAAATAAGGAATCATAATATTTTCCTGCACCTTTAGGAAGGGTATTATATTTATCCACACCGTTTGGAATGGTTTTTGGAGGTTTAGGCAAACTATAAAAAAATCTTTCATGGAAAGGCGAGATTATATCACCATTTTCATGATTCAAGACATTGTTAATATCATTTTTATTATCACCATTGCTCATGATATTACTATCATTAAGTGCACAAACTGTTCTCACTACAGGGCTATCTTCAGGCTCAGAGCTTTCTGAAGATAATCCGAGAGCATGGAATGGGACACAATGATTCACTGTTTCGAACAGTTGGAATCTGTCTTCCGCTTCAGAAATCAAATCAGCTTTTTTATAATGGTTTGTTTTTGCACAATGGAAAGATTCTGTTTGAGTAGCTTGAGAACGATCATTCTTATTTAGAAGTGATGTGTTATCACTTTTAAATTTATCCCCAAATTGGAGAGGCGGATCAATGGACTTAATTTGACTATTTGATTTGATGGACTCAAAAGCTGAATCAAAATTTGGAATCGGAGCTCGATCAACACAATCACCTTCGTATGTATCATTATATCTTAGATTTGCATTTTCCAATTTCGTAGTTGATGAAGAATCTGAACTCTCTTTTACATCAGCAGTGCCATTAGTCTTAGAAGAAATATCACAATTTGAATCATAAAGAACAATAGAGCTGCCATTTGAAGATGTAGCTTGAGTATTTTGAAAAGAATCACTAGATCCGTTTTTCTCATTCTTTTCATTTTTGAGGGTGGATACCACACATTCCTCAAGCATATCTGGAGTGTCACATAAAGCTTGTTCAATGCCACTGTCGGGTGACACGGACACAATTTTACAGCTCCGACCTGGTAAAGATAAACTGTTAGGATCCAGAGACTGAGATTTGTCTTCATGGCAAATGGCAAAGGGTATGTCATCTCCAGGTACATCTTGCTTTGTGGGACTAAGACTATAATCTGATGATGGGCTGAAACTTTCACATGAGTTTAATTCCCCAGTGAGGCTTTTATCCAACTCTAGAACTAAGTTATCAGCCCATATGGACAGTAAGTTTACATCACCACTAGGTGGTCTGGGGAATGGGTATAATTCTTCAGGTATACTGTAAGTAAAACGTGGAGGTGTTGTGTCTGAATGTGACCGCTGACGATATATCTGGGAATGGAAATTAGTTGATGGTTTCTCATCAAATAATTTAGGAGACGAGTTATTTTGTGTTGAGGAAGGTGACGCACTATTTACATAAAGTTCATTAGAGTATGAATTTGATGAAGGATCTCTACCAAGCATAAGTAAATCTTTAGAGGTCTCGGGAAATGAAATAGAGGGGTGCATACGCCACATTCGTCTTCTAGTATTTGGGGAGTACGGTGCACCCACATGATTCTTTGATATTCCTGGATTTAAATTTGAGAAAAAAGAAAGCTTCGAATAGAATGAGTCGCTCTGATGGAATGACTTAGATGAGAATTTTTCGTTGTCCAATAGGTTACCATCATGGCATACGCGGTTAACTCGAGATCTTTTACCATTTGTGATGTCAGAACTAGAATTTTTTGAATTGTTTACATCAAACTTCGAACGAAATGCTTGTGGAGGGAGTATTAGGTTTTCGCTGGAAAAGTTCCATTCATTTCTTCCATCAGGTATTGCATTGTCTTGATGCTCTTCTAATTCTTTGACAGCAATACCAATTTCTTCCTAAAAGAGAAAAATTTTTTTAATAAGAAAAATTACAATTATTTTTAATAAAGCAATTTCTTGAATATAACAGGATTGTGCTTTTTCTATTAACAACCGTTATATTTAACTTCGAAGATAAATTGAAATTCTATAGTTAAGTTCCACAATATATTCTTGAACATTTTTCTATTACATGTTTTGAAAAAAGTTTAAGAATATTATATGGTTGATAACACGTGAATAAAACATTACTTAATTACGTCACTTTTTTCAATAATCTCTTTATTATAAAATAGAATTATTTATTAGTTATTTAATTATAAAATAGAAAGTATTATATAGTCTTCGAGCACAGTATGGCTCAAAAATGTCAAAATATTTAAAAAGATCAATCGAAGGGAAAAGAACAGATATAAAAGTATGCACTTTTCTGTGTTCTGAGTAGGAAACAAGAAGTTTTTTCTTAATGGTATTAAAAATTAGTTGCAAATTTAATTTAGAAATTGAGCTGCTAATTGAAAAAATGATAAAATAATGTGTTCTGCTGTATGTGAGTTCTATTTAATTAAAATATTTGCACGGGTGTCTTTTCATTTCGTCCTCAGATTGCACCGTTGTATGCTTTTTCTCGGTAAACAGCACCATCGTTTGTTGAACGTAGGAACTAATACTAAACATGGGTAAGAAAAAATTTCTAGTTTCCAAAGCAAAACGCAGCAATTCAAAAATTACTTTCGTCAGCCGTTTTTTATTTATTGATTTTCAAAGTCACTTGGTATTTTGGGGGAAGCTTGCACTTTTGAACTATAATTTTTAAAATTATTCACGAGACGTTATTATTCTACAAAATCTAATTTTTTAATCATTATAATGTTAATTCCAAATTTGAATTTTTAAAAATCCTCTTGTCATAAAATTTTTCGTATAAAAGTTGTGAGACACTCTCAGTATTTGATCAGTATGTCTGTTAAGATTAATTTTGACAGCAACTCATTATTTGATCTAAATTACTAAAAAATATCACAATATACCCCATTTAATCTCAATAATATTCCTTTTTAGAGTGGCATATTTTGATAACGCAAAAATAAATTGGAACATTAATTCAAACAAATATCCTCATTGTCAATACTTAAAAGCTAAATAAATAATTTCCGACAGAGGAAATTTTAGAATAATTACGTTCAAACATTATGCCCTTTTATTTATTGGACAGCCTGTTGTCAAAAAGAAAAACATAATGACTACTAATTTATTCTTATGAAATAAAAACAACACATGATTTAAGAGGCCGAATAAGTTACGCATCATATATTTCATACTTTTAATGAAAAACATTAACTAGTTAAATACAGGTAATTTATATTGTAAAAGCTTTCAAATGTTTAAACAAGTTTCTCAGTTTAAATCTTTTTTATTCATTTAAAAATAATTTTCAGCTTCAGGACCAAAAGTGCGGTTTCTTTTGTTGTCAACGTCACAATTTATCTTTGTCAATAAAATTTCGTGACTAGGTCTTGAAGGGTTCATTTAACAGAATGTTCAGTTAATGGATTGTTTATTAGTTCGACATAGTTTTATTTGAAGTGGCGCAGCGTGAACCTAGACAAATAGGGATGGACGACAAAACTTAATTTTATTATGTTTAAGGAGAAGTATCAATCAAACAAAAGTAAAACGTGCTATACGTGACGTATTTTTTTTCTGCGTGTTATTTTGAAAAAATAAGTAGAAGTTAGCAAGATAAATGCGAAACAAATTATTAAGTAGTAAAGCGAACACATTGTTGTTAACGCATATCGTATTTTGATATTAAAATTTAAAGTATATTTAAATCAATCTTTAAGTTTTGTTTTGAATAATACGGATGGATTTGCCAAATAGGGATGGACGACAAAACTTAATTTTATTATGTTTAAGGAGAAGTGTCAATCAAGTAAAAGTAAAACGTGCTATACGAGACGTATTTTTTTCCGCGTGTTATTTTGAAAAAATAAGTAGAATTTAGCAGGATAAACGCGAAACAAATTATTAAGTAGTAAAACGAACACATTGTTGTTATCGCATATCGTATTTCGATATTAAAATTTGAAGCATATTTTAATCAAATTTTAAATTTTGTTTTGAATCAAATAGAGATGGACGACAAAACTTAATTTTATTATGTATAAGAAGAGGTATAAATCAAACAAAAGTAAAACGTGCTATACGTGACGTATTTTTTTTTCTACGTATTATTTCGAAAAAATAAGTAGAAGTTAGCAAGATAAATGTGAAACAAATTATTAAGTAGTAAAACGAACACATTGTTGTTATCGCTTATCGTATTTCGATATTAAAATTTGAAGCACAAATTAATTAAATTTTAAGTTTTGTTCTGAAATTATAAGTTTAGAAAACGCATTAAACAAACCAAAAAAACATGGTTATTTTTTTATTTTACAGTATTAAATAAAGTAGAAAAAACAGTATATAAGAACACAAGTATTGTATAATAGTTTCGTGTTAGTACTATAACAAACAACATCAATAGTGTAGGAACAATATATTGCTAATAAAGACAGTATCTGTTGTTTCTTTTTATTAAAAATAATATTATTTGAGTCCTTATAAATTTTTTCACCGACGTAAAAATTATCGATAGTATCAAACAAAATGAGCAGGAAAAATTGGTACCAACTAACTACATTTATACAGTTAAATTTACTTCACAGTTTTGTATTTTTACTAAATTTGAAGGGCAATGCGAACTATAATTTTGAACGAACATTAGAATTTGCGGTAAATCGTTACCATAACAAGCAAAATTTACCAAATGAATGGTTTAATTAGAAAAATGTTTTTTTTTTAACCAGAAATGGTTTTACCATATAAGTACGAAAATTTTGCCAAAAATCCTACGATTAGACTTCGTTAGTTCTTGTTACCAAATGATTAACACCTCATTTTTCTATAGGAAATACAATTTACGTAAGGATATTTTTTTCTTGAAGACTTGCACCATTTTGAAGTGTTAGAGTTCTTTTTCCTTCTTAGAAACTAATTTATTTCATTTCTAGGTCAAAAAATCCATAGCTTGACACAATGTCCCTAACGATGTTGCAATTTTCTTTAAATCTTCTGTCACTTACAATCATTTATTTCTTCTCGAAATCATGTGAAAACAGTAGGAAATAAAAAAAAAATTTGGTGTTTTTCATGCTTATTTTTGTTATGTTCTTATATGCTTATTTTTGTTATGTTCTGTTATATGTTGGAAATGTGGTGACATATCATTGAACTAAAACAATGCAAAAAATCTAAGTAAAAAAAAAAAAAACAATAATCAGAGTAATAATAACTTTTTAGTAATAATAAAATACAAAAAATATAGCAAGATTTAAAGTACCTTCCGATTTCTTAATAACTGCACGGTAAAAAAGGCTGCCGGTACTTTTTACCGTTAAATCCCATTTTTACCGGAACATGTAACGGAACGAAAAATTAGATATACCGTAATTTTTACAGCAATGATTACCATAAAATCACTGAATAGCTGTAATTAAATAAATGTTGCTGTAAAATTACGGTGTAATATTTTGCGATAAAAATGGATTTTACGGTAAAAATGGATTATACGGATGATGCACCCAAAGTGCTGGTACTTATACCGTAATTTGATATGAAATTTTTTACAGTGCAGTAAGAAATTAAGTAAAAAATGCCAGCTGAATTCTTGAAAAAAAAAGTAATCGTAAGTTTAAAATATCATTTAAATATATGGAAACTGAAAAACAATGAAGCGATTTAAATAAATAAAAAATTAGTGTACACTACACCAAAGCCCATACTGGTTATAAAGTTGTTTTTTTTCCCCAGATGCAAGGAAAAAATCTACAAATTAATAAATAAAATAATCTCTAAATAAAATAGTGATGAAAACCAATTTTATTTAAGAGTGAAATCCAAATGATTGTGATTAGTTGTTTTACACCTTAATTTAACTAAAAATACTTTACAAAATTAATATTTTTACAAGTTTAGTTCTTTAAAAAAAAACGAGATTTTTATCACCCACGTTGATTTTATCACTTTTGGAAGAAAAAAAAGTTTTTTTTTTTCATAACTGCTGCTTGAAAAATAAAATGACTTGTTATTGTTTCTCTAGCAGTGAATGGCAGCTCCAAGTGATATGAGTGTCCAGGATATAAGAAAAAACTATGAAAGCTTTAAAAATAATAACATCTAAAACTTTATGTCAAGTACACAAAAAAAGTCTATTATAAGGTTGCTCTTTTTGATAGATTAACTGAACGATCAAAATAGGTTAATACGAATTTATATTTTAAATTTTTTTAATTTTTGACAACCTAATGACGATTCGAAGTTTGATATTTTGGGTTAAAAATTAAGCAATTGTTGACATTTTCGATAAATTGTTTGTAAATAAATTAACAAAACAAAAAATTACGTTCATATTTTTTTCGATTGTTTTAGTAAATTTTTCCAAACTTTTCAAATATGCAATTCACATAAAAAATATTAAAAAAGTTCTTGTGACTAAATAAAATAAATTGAATAAATTTCAAAAATTATTTAACCATTTTAAATTTAGACTTCAGATTTTGAAATTTAAAAACTACATATGATGTAAAATTAATGGTATAAAACATAAAACTACACATCATATATAAAAAACGTTTTTGAATTATGTGAAAAAAATAATAATAATAAAATAATGAGGAAATAAATAATTACAGTGAATTGCTAATTTTCATTAAAAAGTATTTTCTTAAAAAATTAATTATTATTTAGTGACAAGAGGCCTTAAATTCTTAGTGAAATTCAAATGACACTGACACTCAAACTAAAATGACTAAACAGTCAAACACAATTTTTTCAGCTTTTCATTTAGAACAATGCTCTGAAAAAAAAAACCAGAACACTCTGAATAACTTTTGATCTAATCAGAATTCTATAATTGAATCCTAGATCGAATCTTCACGTTCTAGGGTTCTTAATGGTTCGAACAATCTGGG